AGCTTCTGTGGAAGCAATTCCCGACGTTACTTCTAAATAATAATGTAAATAATAATAATATATATTATATGCAAGATTTTTTACAGAAACGGCTTAACTGAAGAAAGGTTTGATGCGTGCGGGAAATGCTGTGTACCTGCTCACTTTGCAAGAATGCTGAGAAGAAGCTTTAAGACTTTCACGTGCAGTATGGTCATCCAACGACTGAAAAACTCAATTGCAATAACATCCACCAGTTCATCTTCATTGGCTACTGATACGGGCGACCAACAGAATGGCTAGCTGTATAATTTCATAATCTTTACTATGAAGTTTTTCACATATCATTGGGTCTGTGCAGATCAAATAAGCCGGAGAGAACAGTAGTTCCCTTTTTGGGCAGTATGGGGCGACTGGGAGAAACACCCAATGGTGTTGAAGGTTGTTGAAGCTCTCACAAAGAATGCTGATCTTCGATGATCTGAGTTGATGATGACCTTAAGGTACTACAGTGAGTAAGATGTTGCACTAATGTGCCGTCAATAAGATCACCAGCGTTTATTATGACAGTATTTACTTAGACCTCGAATTAAGTTTGGATGATATTAGTTCAACCCATTTTTCATGACTGATGATGAGACACTTCCTTCGTAACCACGCTAATGCTTCACCTACCGCCTTTTGAAATCTCTTTAATTCTGAATCATCGAAGACAAATTATTAGTATGTCGTCAGCAAAATAACCGTTTCCCCGGTTCAGGTGTTCTCTGCGTCAAAACAGAAGCTTAACTGTAATCGAGACAGCACTGAACGACGTAGAAGGCAAAAAATTTGCTTCCGGGAGTGTCATCTGCAAACCGCGATGAACTGCGACTTGTCAGATAAATAGCCTGTCAACAAACTTTTCAGTTCGTTACTGACACATATCTTGCAGTCGCGTCAGCAAAATCTCTCAAGGCACAACATAAACTCGGATGACAAATGGAATAATGACTTAGAGACAAAAAACTGCATAAAACGGTTTAAAAATAAACAACTCAAAAGTTCTGATCAATTTGGATAAATGTCCAATATCGATGTTCCGGCCTGTGTCTCGCGGGCCTTCTTCAAGGTAGGTATGTAGTAGTTTCGTGAATTTAGCCTGTCGTCAACACCAGTAGATGGGTTCGGAGCCAGACCTTGAGCTGACCCACAAATTTCCTTGAATACAGATGAATTTCGATACCTCTGACAAAGAATCCCGTAAACCCAAAACTATGGAAAGAAGCTGCTGAGATAAAGCATCAGAGATACAAGTAAGCAGCTACAATTTGTCATCAAATAAATCAACCGAATCAAAGGCGCGATGCAAAGGACAATTTTCACTAAGACAAACTTGTACATGATTTCCACTGTGAGCACTACAATTTCTTCATACAAGACGATGCGGAACACATAAAAAAATGAATAACCTTCTTCTCAAACAGACAAAAACTTCCTTAGTAAACGCCCTAACAATCTCTCCGCTAGCAGTAACAATAAAATGCAATTAATCTAAGCCAGGTCCAACTATTTAAAGATAAGATGACTGTTTTATATAAAGGATTAAACTTCACTGTAACTAAAAAAATTTTTCCTCCACTTGAAACTATATCCAATAGAAATTCAGGACCATCATAAACTTAATAAGAACATAATAAAAGAAAATTGAAGACATTAAACTTCTGATACTCAAACTAAACCGCATTCATCTAACTTGAACCTAACAAAATTCAAGTGATTAAACCCCTAAAAGTAAACAATTAAATTATAACTAAAAAAGCAGGTATAGGCAACGCCACGATAGTAACGTATAAGCCAAATTACATCGAATAATTCGCGTCGTGCTGAATATCTCGTCTCTACACAGATACCGACCCCACATCCTTTCTGGCCCACAAACTTCGAACACTTCTATATGACCACTCAGATCCCAAATTCTTCAGCGTCATAGAAATAGCTCTCAAATTCAACTGTAGCCACAAGACAGAGTACATTTACTACATACAAAATAAATAAACTTATTCCTCTCAGACCTGGTGGCTTTACTGTGAACAGCTTCTTCGCAGTGGTTTCGAAATTGATAGCCATAATACTCAGATCTTCAATTGCACGGTCTCAACAACTCATATGAATTTTGTAAAGAACAGAAACAGATTAATCCTTCAGAAGGAAGCATTATAGTCAGTTATGACGTTACAGACTTATTTACTAACATCACCGCTGATCTTCACCTTCATCTTCCATCGCCGCTTCTCCTTTCGGGTCGCGAAGGCAGACACGTCAGAGTGAGCTTCCAGCGTTCCCGATCCAGACAAATAGAGCCTGGAAAAGACGCCGTACATATGTTTGCACCAGGTTAATCTTGGCCGTCCCCGCGGCCTTTTGCCGGCCAGGTTTGCAAGGAAAAGCTGCTTAGCCATCCTTTCTGGAGGCATTCGCAACACGAGCCCAAGACATCGCAGCTGTGACTACTCAATCTGGAGAAGCAAAGGCGGTATTCCAAGGCACTTCCGGATGTCACTATTCCGGACCATGTCGAGACAGGTAAGGCCAGCGACTCGCCTAAGAAAGCCCATTTCAGCACCTTGTACCCGGGTTCGAAGTTTAACAGTAATGGTCCACGATTCATCACGTAGGTAAGTATGAGGTAAAGACCGACTTGAATATTGAGAGCTTAGTTTTAAGACTGAGCTCTGCTTTAGTCACAATGGGTCAAGCTAGTTCATGCACAACGCCATTGGCTACTCCAATTCGCCGGTCGATCTCTTCCTCCAACTATCCATCACTAGTAAATACAATTCCGAGGTACTTTCACTTTTCCACCTGCTCCACTACCTCTCGGTTAATCTGAAAAGAGCAACGGGCAGGACAACGAGAAAACACTAGGCTTTTCGTTTTAGATGCGTTCACATGCATACACGTCACGTCGCACTCGGCTGCGAACCTTTCTAAGGAGCACTGGAGATCAGTTTCAGAAGATGCTAATAAAACAAGGTCGTCTGCAAAAAGCAACCTTCTCGACTTCACTATATCACTATATTCACTATATTCACTCAACTTCACATCTCCTATACCGATACCCTCATCGCCTTGGCAGCTCCTGACTATTCTATTCATGTACAACACAAACAGG